ATTCCAGAAATCTTGCACCATATTTGTTTTCTTATCTTACAGCATGTAGCTATTGGAATTAAGAAGGTATTACATAATATTTTAGATAAGAAACAAAAGCCAAAAAATGAGGTCCCTAGTGATAAATAAAGCTTTCTGGTTAATCATGACATATGAACTCTAGTAGGTATTTTGTATTGGTATTTAGCTACATCGTAAATCAGGGCTCTTCAAGTTCTAGGATGAATAATGTTACAGCTGCTTACCCAATGGCTGCATGGCAGTCACGCCTTATTTTTCTTACAGTAAGAAAGGTTTCAGGAGCTGCCTGAGTCTGGTCTGTTGAGCCACCCTATTTGTGAACCAAGATTGAGGTTTGCTTTGTCAGTTTTGTAGCTGGCCCTATGTTTTTTAAGGTATTCTTCCTTGGAATGTGTCTTTTGCTAAATCCTGTTTTTACAGAATGTAGCATTGCATTTATCAGCTCTGCAACTATCTTAAAATAAGGGTGTTTGGAAGATTTGAACTTGTGCCTATGAATCTTTAAAAAATTTGAGTATATAAATGGGATACATGGGTTCTGCCTGCCCTCAGGCCTCCCTTAGCTTTCACTTACTAGCAGTATTATTTTCAGTGCTTGTTAAGAGTCATGTCTGCCCCTTTTTTCCTTACAGTAAATCTTGTAAAAGGTCAGACATTTGATATCATTACCTTCCCTTGAACGGTGTGCTTCCATGTGGCTTTCTGGATGGATGTTTATCTTAGTGAACTGCTGCTATGTTATTTTTTTGTTGGTGCTGTGGCTGGTCAGAGGAGGTCTTACAAAAGCGAAGCATGCAGCGAGTTGTCCATGAAGGGCCAACTGTTTGTTCTTTTTCTGGCGGTAGGGAAGATGGCTCGTTTGTGTGTCCTTTGAGACAGACTTGATTGAAAGCTGTCGTATTTGTTAAATATTGTGGGAATTCATGTCCCTCTGTTATTCCTTTTCTGGATCCAAAAGTGGGTATTTCAGAACTCTTATTATGCTTTGTATGCATCTTTAGGGTGAGAAGAGGGTGCAACTGCAAGGAGTCACTTTGTGGGAACTAAGTCTCTTCATCTCAGCAGGTTGTTGCTGAAATTTTTATTCTTATCAGTGTAAAACCTGAGCATTCCTTTCAAAGGTTTTTTGCAGTGAAATTTTCTCCGCTGCTTTGATGTTATTTGCATCTGGAGTCAATTCACATTCAGAAGCAGGACTTCTGAACTTTCCTTAGAAAAAAAAAGAAAAGAAAAAGAAAAAAAAAGAGGAGAGATTATTTGTCAGAGGAAGTATAACCTAAGCGGAGGAGGGAATATAGAGTTAAGGACAGCAGACCTGCAGTGGATGCGATCTTTGTATGCAAAAGGCCTTATGGTGGGGTACCCCTCTAGTTACCTTGACTGGTAAGCTGTAACCTTGGTAAACTGTCCTGGCAAACTTTGTGTTGATGTTTTGGATCTGGGAGAGGTATTTGATGTGGTTGCTGATGCTTCACTTTACAGAACCTAAAGCATATTCTTTCCAGACTCTTAGTCATTTATGCCCCTTCCCTTCCCCCCTTTTTGTATCCCTCTTTCCTTCTTGACACATCCTTTTCTGTTGAGACTGCTATCAAACTGATTTTAGTACATTACAGAATGTAATTTGAAGTCCTCCTGACGGTTCCTTTGATCAGAATTCTGTTTCTTTGCCTTTCAGACAAAATTAACACTGGAAGTAAAAGAACACTAGAAAGTCAACAGAAGAGACTGTAAAATATGTTCATTTAAACATTTCCTATTGTTTGCTGATATTGCTGTGAAGTTTCATCTTAAAGCATATTAAATTCATTGCCTCTTGGCTCTGAAATTATAAACAAAAAAACCTCTTGAGGGTGATTTCCTAGTAAAATGATGAAAGCTAAAGAAACTCGGGCAGTGGCTTAGATTTCCATTTCATAATTTCTTTCTTGAGGCTTGTTTGGGGTTCAGTGAAATTGTTACTGAAGTTTAGATAAACAAGCACACTGACGATATAGTAAGCTGGGTAACTAGCACTGATGAAAGGCTTTTGGACCAACAGACTTGATGGATAACATGGTGTACATGTCTACAGTCTTGGTGTAGATGCTTCTGTTTTCTCTTGATCCCTGTTTGTTTTCTGGCAGTATGGGTAGCACTTTTGGGATTGCTATATTTAAGAAATTACTGGAAAAATTGTGCAGTGCATTTGAATCCCGCCTCTCCCTATTTTTTTTTTCTTTCTTTTAAATGTGTATTTTCCAGGTCTAAAAAGACCAAAACAAACAATTCCCCCTCCAAAAAAAGCCCAAAAGAAAACAAATACAGCCTCCCTGATCTAAAAACTTCCTCAACAAGCCTATATTAGGTTTTAAACAATTGAAATCCTACCTTATGGTGTACGTTATTGTAATTATGACACCTGCACACTTTGTTACGAAAGGGAAGACTCCACATTTCGATCCAGGTGGCACACGGGGGGTGGGGGTGGGTGGAACAAAACTTCAATGTGTTAAAAAAACAAACCTAGAAATCCCCATCAGCCTTTGAAAGAGTTCTCTTGGACCTTCCTTTGAGTTTTAAAAAGCGTACAAGAATCAAAAGGACTTTATGTGTTGTATTCTAGCAAGTACATTTTTGCATGATGTTTTGGTGAAGATAGCTTTGGTACTTTATTTATTAATTTTCTGGCTAAACTGTATTTCCTTCCTGGCTAAATGAAGTTATAAGTTGAGTTAAATGGGTTCGGGGCTGGTTAGAGACAAGGCAATCGCTAAGTCAGTCAGCTGCTGTTTATAGTTTATAAAGGTAGAGATAAATCTGTTTTGCTTTCAGCTTTGCGTTTGGATTGTCAATTAACTGATTCTACTTTATTAGAGAATTTGAGAACCCATTCTCTTACTTTTGTCAGCTGATTCCATGAAACATGGTTCTGGTATTTCTTCCATTGTGACTGAAACAGAAAGCTGACACTTAGCGATACCTGAATAGAGTATGCACATGTTACATCTCGTCCTGGTGCTTGGTGAGAGTGGTTGTGCAGTCACTGTTGGACAAATCATTATTTTTTCTTTTGAGGGTCTGGATAATCATTTGATAGTTAGAGGATGATCACTGTGGTTCACTTTCAAAATTCAAAACAGTTACTGAGTTTTCATACGGCTATTCAGACTTACACATTTTAAGTTGTCTTTCTCATCTTTTCAAGCTACTCAGTATTTTCAGTAACTCAATGGGAGTTTTAAACCCCTTGTGTCAATCCATATGTATGCATTTTTTTTGGTAGCTTTCTATTGAAGCACTCATTCTGAACAAATGGCCATAAGATTATACTGTTCTGCTGGGTTTTGTGTGAGTACACAAAAATTCCACAAATGTATAGTTAAAGAAGCAAAATACTTGAGTGCCAGTAGCTTACAAGTAACCTTCTCTCACACCTGCAGTTTCTCTGCATCTTCTGATGTTGACTGTCGAAATAAACCATACTATGATACTAACGAAAAAGTGACCCTCTAGACTTGCTTTTGATTAAATTAGTAAAAATACTGAACTCCTCCTGTATTCTGAGTTTAACTGTTAATTTTGTCAGGCTTTTGTATTTTTTGTATTTGTGTGAATTATTGTCCTGGTTTCGGCTGGGATAGAGTTAATTTTCTTCCTAGTAGCTGGTATAGTGCTGTGTTTTGGATTTAGGATGAGAATGATGTGATAACACACTGATGTTTTAGTTGTGGCTAAGCAGTATTTATAGTAAGTCAAGGACTTTTCAGCTGGCTTTTCTGCCAGCAAGGAGGTGCACAAGAAGCTGGGAGGGGGCACAGCCAGGACAGCTGACCCCAACTGGCCAAAGGGCTATGCCGTACCGTATGACGTCATGCTCAGTATGTAAGCTGGGGGGAGTTGGCCAGGGGGCAGTAATCGCTGCTCGGGGACAGGCTGGGCATCGGTCGGCGGGTGGTGAGCGGTTGCATCACTTGTTTTTCCTGGGTTTTGTTTCTCTCTCTCACTTGTTGTTTTCATTTTCATTATAATTATTAATTTAAATTCTTAAACAGTTCTTACCTCAACCCACTAGTTTGCTTACTTTTACCCTTCTGATTCTCTTCCCCACCCTACTGTTGGGGGGAGGGTGAGCAAGCGGCTGTGTGGGGCTTGGTTGCTGACTGGGGTTAAACTACAACAATTATTTAAACAAATACAATTTGGATCTGATTCCATAATCCTCCAAGAATTGATTTCTATCAGTATAGAAGACTTCTATTATACTCTAAAGGCTCTGGGTTAAGAAATGATTTTGTCTCTGTTTGCACAATTTCATTCACACTGCCAATGCTTCATGTTGTGGTTAAAAAAAAAAAGTTTTTATTTGTCTTTTTTTTTTTTCTTAAATTCTCAGCCTCTTTAGAAAGCACACTTGATTTGTATAGCTTTTCATATTTTGTTCAGTTTAACATGGAAGATACTTATTTAGTATGTAAACTGTATGCACCTTTTTGGGAATGAAACCTAAATCAAATTTCACATTCTTATGCATGGAGATGTCAGCAGGGGAGCCAAAGCTAAAACCTTGCATTAATTTACAGTGATATCTGAACAAAAAATACTATGCAGGTGCAGAAATGCAGGAAGATGGGAATCTTTGGTGCAGAAATGCAGGAAGACCTACGAAGCAGAAGCCATGTCTCTGTTTTTAATCCACTTTCTTTTGTTGATTAATTGATTATTGGGAAGATGGATAATATTAACAACAGTGGATTCATAAATGCTGGCTATAATTGAAGAGCTTCAGTTTGTGTATTTTGAAAGCAAATATAAATACTTGATTTGCTCTTATAAAATTGTATTATAAAAATTTCAAAACATTAATGTTGTTTCCATTAAAACAGCACAGGACATTATTACTATCTCTCTTAAATTTTGATAACACTTGGTGCTACTTAAAATGGGTTATGTTAAAGAGGAAGCTGAACTTAGGTTATATTCTCTTTTATAACTTCTAGAAATATAAAGAGAAAGATAAACACAAGCAAAAATATAAGAAGCAGTCGGAGTCCTCACCATCCTTGGTTCCATCTCTTACTGTAACTACAGAGAAAGTAAGTCAATGTATTTTCCTCCTCTTGCACTTCAGTTACTTATGTTGAAATTTTGTGATTCGTCATTCCAGTGAAGATACCCAAGCTTTAAAATGGCCTAGATTCTATAATTATCAAACACACTTGGTATTTTTTCATATAATGTAAAATTCTAAAATACTTTGAAGTTTATAATATGAAGAAAGGCTTAGATTTTTGTAATTGAATAGTGAGTGATTTAATGGTACCAATCAGGTAAGTTTTATTTCATTGACTTATGTTTAATAATTTGAGAAGTTCTAGAAAATCTTGCCTTTGAAATTCACTTGTGTGTGCTGAGCTGTCACTGAACCTGTAAGCATTTAAGCTGGTAGGTAGGAGACTGAAACTTATGCTTCATATACTTGTAACATCACATTGCCTTTTTTAACAGTTTACTCCTTTAGGTTCTGTGGTCTTTCCATCCTGTTAATGTGCTAGCAAATATCTAACTCAAGGGACAACGCAGAGGGTTAAATAGTAAGGACTGTTCTCATTGTACTCTAAGAATCACTTTCACTATCCACCAAAAAAATAACACTAATGGTGGTGTTACAAAGTGGGCAGCAGTATTGAGAAATGGGTTTTCTGACTTCAAAGCTGGAAAACATTTGTCCCGTTCTTGTGGGAATGTTTGACATCTGAGTCAGGGAATTACAGTTTGAATTAATTAGCTGTCAGTAAGTAGAACAGTTTTTTAGCCGAAACTTTTGTTAACTGTATGTAGTTTGGTTGCTGTGATGCAATATTCAACAAATGTGTCTATTTGCATATGGTACACCGAGACATTGTCAGGACAGGGTAAAAAAATTGAAATACCAACTTTCTCTAGTCCCTGGATAACTAATGGTATCAACTTCAAGAATCGTCACCAAGAAAGTTAGTTTTTTATTATGCTTTGGATATTTCTTTATTCTCAATAGTAGGAGTATTAACTTGCGGATGTGTACCTGTTAACATCTCATTATTTGTGACTCATGCTTCTGATAAAGTAGTCTTGTTTCTGGTTCTACTGTATTCTTTTTGACACAATTATGTCAAATGAGACTTACTAGTCAGTGGATTTCTGAAACTCCCAATAACTCTTTATTTAAAGGAAAAAAAAAAGGTAGTCAATTTGCTGCTTTGCTGTTTTGATTTGAGAATGATTAGACATTGCAGTCAGTGAGTGTGACAGTTTTTATTGAAATTGTTGTAGAACTCTTTGAATAGTACTGACTGGTCCATGTGATTTGTTATTTCATTTTATTAATTTGTCCTGAACATGTTTCTCTTAAGTCTGAGACAACTCATAAAATTCATAGCCTGTAAAATAATTTTCCTGTGTGGGAACTTCCTTTAGATGATACAATTTTTTGTTTAGGTTTTGTGCTATCTATGATCTTATCTTAATTGAATATATCCCTTTTGTACTATGATTATCTAACCATCATCAAAAGCTTAACGAAAAGTGATGTTGCTGTATATTTGTGTAAAAGTTAAAGAAAATATATTGAAATATTGGTTATTTTTGACTCCTACCTATTTGAGTATGCTAGAAGATACAGTTGGATTCTGTTTTTCTGCTAATCTATTTTCTAATTGCTCCTCCCTAGACTTTTCCTAATTACAAAGTTTATGACTGAATGGTGTACACTTTAAGGTGAACAAGAGTAAAATCCCATTTTTAGAAGATCTCTATTTAATCCAAGTAAAAAATGAAAAAGTTGCTGAGTTGTTGGCCATACTGTTAATCAAGATTGTACTACCTATGCATGTATAGCAAATATTAAAGAGAATAGAAACTCTATAATTCTAGAACCTAAATTATAAATGAATTAAACTAAACCAGAAGTATTAATTGTGGAATTTAAATATCAACATGTCTCCTGTTAGTTTTTTTTTTTTTTAAACCTTTTACACCCTGCGTTTCTTTCTATCTAAGCTATCTGCTTCATTTTCTACCTTCTTTTTATAATTCTTGAGATGGTCAGGAAACTTTATAATGCTTGAGACTGTCAGGAAAATTGGTGTTCAGTTTTTTTTAAATGAAGTTACTAAGCGTGATTACGTTTTTAAAAAAAGTATCTGCTGGATATTTGGAAGTGATTTTCTGTGGCTAGTTCCTTCAGTTATCTTATTTTAATTTTTTTCCAAAGTCCTTTTGACAACATTTACATGCATTTGCTTTTCTAGGTTATAAATTCATAGTGTGTTCCTCAAAATTTTGAAATTCTAATAACTAAACAAACTTTGTTTTTTCTTCTGAGATAAATATTTGGTTCAGAATATTTTGTTAATGTGTTACTTTTGTGTATCCCTTTATATAGAGTTGTCAGAATTAATTTGGACTTGATGTCTTTTTCACAGCAGTCTGTCATTGCAGTGAATACATTATTTTATCATGCTATATAATCACTTCTGCTACCGTGTTGTTCCTGTTGGGGGGTACTGGAACTTGAAATGAATTTTGGTTTTCCTTTTTAAAGAAGTGAAATCCTTTATGATACAGTGGCAGTGACCATTTATGTAGGTGATTCCTTAAAGGATGTTTTTATCTGGATGAGTGGCTTCTTAAGATACGTTCATGAAAGGCTGCAGAATAAACTGTGGATTTACATTATGTGAGTTGGTATACTTGGCTTGCCTGTTTGTCCTGCAAAAATTAATTCCAAGAAATTTTACTTTGGTTCCAGTCCAAATGCTGTGTTGAGATACAAGTATGCGTTTTGTGCATCCCTGTAATGTTTCAGCAAAAACTCCTTAGTCTGGGTCAGTTAAGTTTTGAAAAAGTTTGAAATAAGAAATTCTTAACTACTCTTTGATTAATGTATTAATAAATTTTTCACTTTTCTTTTGGGATATGGATGCAGAATGTTTTAAGAAGGACTAGAATGAATCACTTACGAACTTGAGTTTTCTCTCTGCCCCTTTGGATGAGGTTTTCTTCCTGCCTTCTTCTTAATTGGGAATTGCCATCAACCCTTTATTTAGTCCTGATAAAAGCTTCTGTCTCAGGTTTTGAGCTTTGGGAGGCTGGGCTTGTGTTGAAAATTTAAAAATGTGTATGGTTTAACAGATCCAGAAAAATACAGTTGTCTTTTTTTTTTTTTTTTAAGTTCAAACCCCAAAACATTGATGTACGCAAAGATACACAAGACAATGTATCTGCTTTCAAATTGTAGCCAGTAACTAAATAAAAGATACTGCAAACAGAAAGTACAGCTGACTGAATTTTATCTGTAATGGTAGAGATGATGGTGATAGCCCTTCTCAGGTCACCCTGACTGTCAGACTGCTGTCGTTCTCAAGGGGCATGATCAGATCCTACTGCAGTGGGATACAGAAAGGAATGAAATAAGTAGAAAAATATCTATTTGGTATGACTGAACGTCACTGTCCTACAGTAGTGTGGTGTTTGTGGGCTATGGGGGTGTGTGTTGATTTTTTTTGTTTGGGTGTTTTTTGCTTGGACCATTCCCTTACCATCTGGCATTTTAGTGGATGATGACCTGCTGTGGTCCTTCCCTTCTCTGTGCAAGATTACGGGCCTATATATCTGTATTAGGGCTAAAGGCTTCTCAAGCCTTGGGACGTACTGTGTATAGCAAGAATGATTATTATGCCTTTACCGTAAATCTGAAGCTTTCCCAGAAGTTTTAAGACTTGCTGCAGATAGGTGGTACAACTCTTCAGGGCGCACAGAGTGATATATGGGGGGGTGTAAAATGACCGTAACTCTGTACGCCAAGTTGGCAAGGTGAAAGTGAGCTTTTAGGGAAAAACCTGCGAACTGGTTTATGGGAAGCATAAAGGAACCCTGATACACGCAGGGTTAGTTTGGTAATTGCACTAGCAAATACTGATTGATTTTTGAGAACAGGATTAACGTTCATGACGTAGCTAGTGAAGTCCTCCCAAATAAACCAAGGGATGGTATTGGGTGACAGCATCAGGGAGATCTCCTTTGTGGGGGATGTTTGTACTTAAATGGTGGAAAATGACTGCCTTGGAGTGTGAGCAGTGAACTGGGGAGCCTCGAGTAGCATATTCCACTTAAAAGTATGTGCTGGGGAGAGGGGGGACGGCAGAGGCTGAAGCCAGTCATTATATAACCAAAGATGTTCTGCCTGCATCCTCAGATCCTTGCTCCCTGCCAGTCTTACTCTCCTGACCTCAAAAAATCGCCCAAACAAACAAACCAATATAACTTTGGCATGGCATATTAGGGTTTTTTTTTGTGACATTTATGTTAGGCCTTTGTCTTTTAGAACTTAGCGTTTTAAAAAAGCAGCTTGTTTAGGGTTGGCTAAGTTGTTGTATGAACCAATTAGCTTAATAACCTAAAGTTTGTGCTGCAGTTTTACCTTAGATCTTATTGCATATCGTGTGGATTCTCAGTGCATATCTGTTTTAGGGCACTTTGTTGCAATTAAGTCCTTAAAGTAAGGAATATAATCTGCGAAAAAAACACTGACCAAGTGATACCAGTTTTACTTTTCTAAGTGTCTATTGCATCGTATAGTGTTCAAGATACTTGGAGTAAGCATGTAGATTTCAGTATGTTTTATAACATCTTCCAAAACAGAAATACCTGTTGGAGGAAAATTTTCAAAAGCAGAACAGCGATGTGCACGTATGTTCTCCAAAATCTGCTAAGAGCAGGATTCAGGCTTGCAGTCAGCCCAAATCTCTGCACAGTATATGCAAATTAATGCCTACTTGTAATTTCCTAGCCCTGGGCAGTCTGTAGAACTATGTTAAACTCTTAATTTCCTTTTTAAAAGAAAAAATTCCGCCCCCC